TTATCCTAGGTTCTCTACACATATGCTGCTATGTATGATAATTCTATGTAACTGTATTTGTGTATACCTGAATAAACTTACTTACTTACTTACTTACGGTAGTATGCCATGCAGAAAACGATACGTTACCTCGACTCAAGAAATCGTAATGACACGATTGCAAACAAACCATACCCCCGGCCGGGATTGAACCCGCGGTCATAGAGTCTCAAAACTCCAGCCCGTCGCGTTAGCCCGTGGCTAACGCGACGGGCTGGAGTTTTGAGACTATGACCGCGGGTTCAATCCCGGCCGGGGGTATGGTTTGATACGTTACCTCCCTTACCCTAGGCTTTAACTTCAACTTGCTAAACCTATACCAAATACTCTTCCATGCGTACATGGGGAACAATCCCTCAACTGGTACAACAATCCTTTCTGCAAGCAGCCTACACAAAACCCCTACTCGAATTTTCCTGGGTTCTCTAACCAACATCAAAGCCCTCAAAACAGTTTCACATTCCCTCAACTCCACACCGCCATACAACTTACCCAACCTATCATGTACTTTTCCCAGCTGCCCTCCACTCACACCTTCGCGCAAAACCTCCCATTTAAGAAACACACATTTAATCCTCCTTCTCAGATCCATCAACCCCAACCCACCCTGGCGCACAGGTAACATTACAACCTCTCTCCTCAGCCAATCACACCTTGAACCCCACAAAAAGTTAAACACTCGTCTCAGAATTCCCACAATCGCCGTCCCTGTTAATGGGAACACGGCTGCTATGTGCCAAACCTTACTATACAATAATACATTTATAACAATCACTCGTTGCACGAGAGTCAGATGATGAGGTCGCAATGCACCCAGACGCCCCTGAATCCTTTCCATTAATCTATTCGAGTTTTCCTCTCGAGCAGCGTCCAAGTCATCCTTATAGGTGGTACCACAAATTCTTAAAGACACTTTTTGTTTCCTCACAAAGTTACATCTCCCCCCCCCCCCTCCACCCAATCACCCAACCCCATGATCATTGACTTCTCTCTATTTACCTGCATCCCTGTTGCATTTCCGAACTGTTGCACAACATCCAAAACACCCAACGCCATCCCCTCTCGAACCAGGACTGTTGTATCGTCTACATATCCTATTATTCCAGGCCACACTTTCCCGACCTCCCCCACACCTCTACTCATGTCACATACACAGCGTTCAACCATTCTATAGAAAGGGTCCTGAATGCACGCAAGCAACATTTGTGACATGGGACACCCCTGCCTAAGTCCCCTACCCATTACAATCTCCTCCCCCAAGCATCCATTAATCTGTACCCTCATCTTAGCTCCATTGTTCAACGTGGTTACCCAATTAACTATTTCTTCCCCATAACCCTGCCTCCTAAGTATAGGTCCCAATGCTCCCCTTTCCACCCTGTCATAGGCCCCCTGCCAGTCTAAGGCCAACAACGCCGCCCTCCCTCACCCCCCCCCCTTTTTGACTCCACAAAACTTCTCAGTATTCCATGCCCCTCAATCATCGACCTTCCAGGCAAACCATACTGCGTTTTCGAAACCACTCTCCCTACCACACATTTAAACCGATTACCCAAGACTTTAGCGAACAACTTATAATCAGCACATAACAGAGATATGGCACGGTACTCCTTGAGGGTGTGCTGACCCTTACCCTTCTGGACCAACACTACAACTGCTGTTGCTTGCTTGTCCCCCAACACACCCTTCTCCTTCATCTGATTAAATAACCTACCCATGAAACCCCTTATCACCTCCCAATGTTGAAGGTAAAATTCAGCCGGGAGACCTTCTATTCCTGGTGCTTTGCCCTTCCTCATTCCCCTTAAAGGCAACTCTATTTCCTCTTCCGTTATTACCCCCCCCTAAAGCCTTTCTATCACTATTCCCTAAATTACACATCACATACTCACACACCTTCTCTAAATCCACATTCCCCACCTTCCCACTTGTCGAATACCCTTCATACCATTTATCCGCATACGCACACATTCCTTTCGTAGTTAGTATCTCCTGACCCATTCTATAACCCCCCGCCATCTCATGTACCTCTAACCTCGAAATAGCTGTAACCTGCTGTCTTTGTTTTTGACGTCGCAACACACACGCCGATGGCCCCTGCCTGCACCCTTACCGCTTGAAACCTCTCATTTTGTAACTCCCTCAGTCTCCCCTTGACCTCGACAATTTCATCCATAGGATAGTTGCCCCCCACAGCCCCCTTCCCATAACAGCCCCTTAACCTGTCCTCTAAATAATTTGAAAGGCCATATTTTAAATCATTTGTACTTTTGCCCACCCCCACATGATATTTCCTAATCCTTTCCTTGGCTACACAATCCCACCATTGTACGACATCTTCCACTCCCTGTGCCTCCTCGCTAAGCTCCTTCCACAGTAGAGAAAATCCCACTAACCCCTCCTCATCACTCAATGCACTTATATTTAATTTCCAATAACTCCTGTATATTTCCGCAAGCGCCTCCCACCCAACCTCCACCAACACTGCTCTATGATCCGACCATGCTACTTCAACAGTTTTGAAAGATCTCACTACAACCCCATGAGAAAGATACACTCTATCTAACCTCGCTGCATACCCTCTCCTAACAAATGTATGCTTTGTCTCCCACGCCTTCCCCCCTCGAATGCGTCCCTTAACCTAATATCCCTCAATAAATCTCGTAGGGCCACCGACACATAACCTGCCCCTTTTGGTTCCACATCAGCCCTTCTAATGATGCAGTTCCAATCACCTCCTACTATTGCCACCTCCGGTAATGCACGGAAAAAAAACACAAGGTCCTCACACACAAACTCCTGCTTCACCTGTACGTTATTCTCTGCAGGCGCATATACACTAATAAAGGCCACACGTTTTCCCATCCACAAACCATCTATGCGCAACACCCTTCCCCCTCCCCCCTCACTTCTCTGCAAAACAAACGGGCTCGCCTCCCTAATTAATATACCCACCCCTCCTTTCAAACGGGCAGATGGCAGGGTTACCATCTGAAACCCCTCCATCTCCAACACCCTACCCTCCTTAAAATTATGCTCCTGAAGGAACACAACATCCACTCTAAATTTATTCAGAAACATTCGAAACCATTCTCTCTTTACACTATTACACAAACCATTAACGTTTATTGTCATACACCGGAGGCCTATTAAAGTTTCCACCCCTGCCTCCTCTCTTCACTCTTCCGATGGGCACCAGAACGTGTGGGACCACTTGTCACCTGCACACTTCCCTCTCTCTCCCCCCCCCCTTCTTCGATGCCTCCTGTCATGGCCACCACTACCTTCACCTTCTGCCCATATTTGCTTCCCAGTCCACTGCGCTGGCATTAGGACATCATCTGAATCCGACGCAGCGGCTCTCTTGTGACAGGCGCATCCTCCATGGCTTGGTCTGGGGATGCCTCACAATGTACCTCAACCTCCACTGTACACAGTGGCAATGATCTCGGTGACACCTCAGTCACGCTGTCACTCCCGTCATCTGAATAGTTCTGCTGTTGATGCACCACAGCCTTCAACTCGTCTTCTACCACCTTTCCAGGAGCAGCCACCTCCTCAGGCGGTGACAAGGACTTCTGAACCTCGGCTAATTCCTCCTCAATTTCCAACACTTCCTCCTGTACTTTTTGCTCAACCCGATCCACTGGAAGTGTCTCTGGGCCAGGTAACTGGTCAAGGGCCTCGCCCTCTCCCTCAGCCTTATGCGCCTCATCCACTATCTCGCTCCAAAGACGACCACGCCCTCCTTCACGTCATTGATCATCACCTGCTTCCCCCGGTGTAGAAGCGGATGTCTCCGCCCCTGGGCCAGGAGCTCGTTGCCGCTTCCCACACTCCGCCGCTATGTGATCATATTGCCCACATAGTCGGCATGTATGCCTTTGCCCGGCGTATGACACCATGACCTGTGTCCTGAATTCCTTTAGGTACACGCAAGACGGTATGGGGTGTCGCAATGTCATTTTTAGGTTAAAAGTGCCCTCCGGCAGACCTGTGTAGGCACCCGTCACCCACTTACCATGCTGGACCAAATGAACAGTTCCGTATTCCTCAAAAACTTTTCTGATATCTGTCTCATCAGCCTCAAAGGGGACATTACGCAGTTTAATCCATGTATAATGTCTGGATACATCGATCATCCTCACATGCACAGCTGGTGTTGCATCAAGACTTACGTCCTGAAAACGGTTGATCAACGACTCATAAACCATTGCTGAGAGCAGTTTCACAAAAATTCTACATGCTCCGTTCAATGCTACTCCGTACAACTCGCCATCCTGAATGCCATACGTGTCTCTGATGATTTTAGGTAGTAATACCTGGGCTGAAGCTGGCGTTATTGCCCCACTGAGAAGTTCAACGCCGACAGTGTTGATCCTGCGTCTATAACTGAACGCCATGTTGACTAATGGTAGTTCTCCTGGGCTGACGACAGAGGCGCGACAAGCACCACCTCACACTACTGCAGTCAGGGAACTGAAGTGCATTTGCGCAGGAGGTCTACACAGCCCTAGAGCGATGCAGACAATGGAAGACATTTAGGGTGCCCAAGAGTGATTATTATTATGTAATATTGGCGTCATGAGTAGAGAGAGACCTAGCGATTTTAATGTGTACCTGCACACCAGCACAGTGTAAGTATATTTAGGTACCGGTACACATAAGTATAATTATCAGAGCACATATAAAATATGCAGTAACTTTAAAACACTTGAAATTTTGGAAAGTTACCTGACATAATAGATGTGGTCACAGAAAATGTAAACAAACCGGGTGGGGGGCGCCGTATTTGAAAGACCGCTTGCCTTATGGTAAATTTTGGTCATAATTTGACATCGCCGTATTAACGGAACGCCGTAAAGCTGGGCCTTACTGTATATATATGACAAATAAAGAAAATATTTTGTAACCCATGAATCTCATAGGCCAGCCTTTATTCGAAGCATCTCTCTTCCACAGGCCAGCCTTTTACTTGTACTTTGGGCTGAAAATTGTGGCTGGTCTAGTCGTCCTCTGCCTCAGCCTTGACTTCAGGATGCCTTCAAACAAAGTCACTAAGGACTTCAAATCTTTATTAAAAAATGCAGAGGTCTTGACCTACCTGTTAGTTATGATGATCACAGGTGAGATGGCTTGATTATTTGTGAGTGAGAGTCAGAGCATGTTAACATGAACGAGAGGTACAACATCACGGGAGAAGGGTTGTTATTATAATATTCACTGGGAAGCACTAAACCAATTGGTCACACAATGCCTGGGAAATTAATAGTAATCAAGTTTTATCCCGGGAAGGATCCGTCACTATCAATCCCCTCCCGCTCTTGAAGAGAAGGAGAAAGTTGATAGTGAGAGGGAACACTGACACTGGCATAAGACTGATCAAATACAAATTGGATTTTCTTTTTAAATAATACAGTTTTTAACATTTTCATTAGGTGCATTCTTCGGCCTACTGGATCTCTTCCTGTTCTGGCTGCTACAGGATCTGGGAGCTTCCAAAGTCTTGATGGGCATCACTGTGACCGTGGGCACTGCAGCTGGCATACCCATCCTTGTGGCCTCAAAACACATTATCTCCACTCTGGGGCATGCCAACACCCTCATTCTCGGACTTGCCTTCTATGTCGTCCGCATGATAGGTTGTTCATCTTTTATGTTTTCTCAGTATAGTACCATAGTTCATGATTTATATTACAGGAAGAACAATCTAATTGAGTTATTCTTGTTTAATTTCGTAAAATGGTGAGAAAACATCTAATTTTATTTATATGAAGAATTATTGTTATAGTTTTGGAAACTCACTAAATCTGTAGGGGTCATACAGTCCCTGGGAATGGGATGTAATCAGTTTTGATCCAAAGAAGGTTAGGCTCAATTTAGTTCTGTAGACCATGGATCATTTGCCAGCATCAAGGTATTCTCTGTGGTGGGTTAAGCCAAGAATAATTATTCTTTTTCTACATTTACTGACGATACGAGTACATGCCTAAACATTGTGTGTGCGAGGACACGCCATCACTGTAGTGCTAACATGTTTCTCCTCTCAGGATATTCTTACATTCAAGATCCATGGTGGTGTTTACCCTTTGAAGCACTGGAATGTTTTACTGTCTCCCTGATGGACACTGCTTCTGTATCCTATGGTGATACCCTCGCCACACCATCCACCATTGCTACACTGCAGGGAATGTATGGAGGCCTTCACTATGGTATTGGTAGGTTGAGAAATCTAAAGGATTAAAATTCTAAAATATAAGTGAATGATAAATTATAAATTCATGGGGGTGAAATAAACCTATGGCTGTCAAATAACCTGGAAAATGGGAAGCAATTAGGTCTGATCTGATTAAGGGGAGAGTAACTCCAATTCCACATATGAAGACCATTTCACCAGGATCAAGTCACTTCTCTTGAACAGGTTGATTTTCGAGAGTACAACTCTAGAAAATGGTCTTGTTTACGTCATAGGTTAGGAAATCAAGACAGCGAACTTACAACAAAAGTGAACAAATCATTGCAGTTTTACTTATAAGATACTGAATCTGTTTTTTTTTTAATAAGTGATTGATTTCTCTATATAACTATCAGTTTGTTCAATAATACATACTGTAATTTAGTTTTAATCATCTAGTGATATTTTAGCATCCCGATAAGTTTGTTGATATTTATGTTAACATTACAGGTCGCGCTCTTGGCAGTCTTATTGGAGGAAACCTGATAAAAGTGGTGGGAATTCGTAACACCTTCAGAGGCGCAGCTGGAGTGTCTGCTGTTGCCTGTATACTATACTTTTTCATCAACTATAACTGTTTCCGTAAACAGCAACAAGAGCGCAGACAGAAAGCTATAAGTGAAAAGACAAATAAAGCAACAGTGACAGAAGAAAAGAAACACACAGAGGATAAAATAACCAAATCTACAGCTGATGGCAACGTTCTAAAACAAGAGCATCTCAATTCAGCATTTAATGGAGAACCTAATTCCATAGACGTTGAAAGTGCAAGAAAACCAGAATATTTAAGCAGCTTTTAAAAAAAGAATCAATTCCACAGACGTTACAAAACAAAAAAACAAAATATCTTTTTTTCAGCAGTAAAAAAAAATCGTTTCCACAGATACTGAAAAAGAAAGAAAAACGAATATTAAAATCAGCCCCTGAAAAAGAATAAAAATTTCCCCCGACACTGAAAGTACTAGAAAACGGACTACATTAATCCGCCCTTTTAAAAAGAAACAAATATTGTAAAACCAAATTTTAAATTTTTTATGGGGACGGAAAGGGCATACATTAAAATATTAAATATATAAAAAAATATATATATTTAAAATAATAAAAAATATATAAAATATAAATTTTATATATAAAATTTTAAAATAATATAATAAATATATAATATAAAAATATATAAAAATATATAAATATATATATAAAAATAATAAATAAAATAATATAATATAAATATATATTATATTAAAAAATATATAATATATATAAAAAATATAAATATAATAATATTTACAAAGTAAAAGTGAGCAAGGAGGGGAAAAGTATAGGAGAAAAAAGAAGGTTTTAAAAGAGTGGGAAGCAATGAAAAAAGGGGCAAAAGAGAAGTGGGTAGATGTTTTCAAAAAATTTGTTGAAAATAAGAAAAAGTTTTTGATGAATTACAAATTTTAAAAACCAAGAAAAAATGGATTTGCCATTTTTAAAAAAGAGAGGAGAGTTATTAATGGAAGTTTGAGTTTGGGAAATGGAGGGAATATTTTGAGGAATTTTTAAATGTTGATAAAAGGGAGCTGTGATTTTTGTGATAGGGCAAGGAGGAAAACATCTTTTAGGGGTGAGGAAGACCAGTTTTTTGAGTGTGGGGAAGTTCTGAGGCAGTAGGTAAATGAAAGGGGTTAAGGGGCGGGATTTATGGAGAAACACTAGACCTCATCTTCACTAACAATGAGATTGATAAGAAATGTCCCCCAATAAAAAGAATGTACTAGATCAAAAACAAATTGAGGTTCAAAAGGTGAAAAAAAGGTGCTGATAAAATGTAGCTACAGAAAGGGGGGAATGGTTTTCTTTTTTTTGCTAACATACGTGAAAATTTTCCATATTCTGTAATGACCCTCGTATTGTGTACTTTTAAATGCCCCTCGGTAGTAGATAGCCTTTTTAGTATGATAAAAGATTTTATCTTATTGTAGAATAATAAGAAAATATTATAACCTTTTTTATAATAATAAGGAAAAGGCCCCCAAGGGAAAAAAATCACTCGTCTGACTTTTTTGGGTTATCCGGGTTTCTTACCATTTTGGCTATGTATGATAATTCTATGTAACTGTTTTTTGTGTATACCTGAATAAACTTTTTACTTCATTTTTGCGTGGACCCGACCGACATAAGGGACATCAGAGGGAGATTCCCAAATTCAACTTCAAAACAAAAAATAAAAGTGGGCCAAGTAAACCAAGTCCTAACCGATATAAGCGGGGAAGATATACAAAGAAACACAGACCCCACATGTTTAAACAGATTAACTTGGGGCACCGATGTATGCACAGGCTTTTTTCCTTAAGAAAAAGGAGGTAGATGTAAAATAAAAGGACAGGCGCCCCCTTTTACAGGCAGGGAAAAGAAAAACGAGCGGCTAAAAGAGGTCATATTTTCTGAAAAAGCGTGGGAGACACTGGGCAGAGAAAAAAAAAAGCATCCAACTTAAGTAAAGGAAACTTAAGGGTCAGGAACGCGGGAAGAACTAAAAGCCATAAATGAAATCGAAAGAACCCAAAGTATTTCTTCTCCCATGCCCAAACAAAAGGGCAAGAAAACGTCCAGTATTGGGGGCCCCACTTAAACAAATGGGCCTACACAGATGACAGCAAGGAAATGAGTGAGCTACTCAAGTCCCAATATGACTCCAGTTTTTAGCAAGCCGCTAACCAGACTGAGAGTCGAGGATCAAAATGAATTTTTTATGAGAGAGCCACAAAATTTGGTTAACACAAGCCTATCCGATGTTATCCTGACACCAAATGACTTCGAACAGGCGATAAATGACATGCCCATGCACTCTGCCCCAGGGCCAGACTCATGGAACTCCGTGTTCATCAAGAACTGCAAGAAGCCCCTATCACGAGCCTTTTCCATCCTATGGAGAGGGGAGCATGGACACGGGGGTCGTCCCACAGTTACTAAAAACAACAGACATAGCCCCACTCCACAAAGGGGGTAGTAAAGCAACAGCGAAGAACTACAGACCGATAGCACTAACATCCCATATCATAAAAATCTTTGAAAGGGTCCTAAGAAGCAAGATTACCACCCATCTAGAAACCCATCAGTTACACAACCCAGGGCAACATGGGTTTAGAATAGGTCGCTCCTGTCTGTCTCAACTTTTGGATCACTACGACAAGGTCCTAAATGCACTAGAAGACAAAAAGAATGCAGATGTAATATATACAGACTTTGCAAAAGCCTTCGACAAATGTGACCATGGCGTAATAGCGCACAAAATGCGTGCTAAAGGAATAACAGGAAAAGTCGGTCGATGGATCTATAATTTCCTCACTAACAGAACACAGAGTAGTCGTCAACAGAGTAAAGTCCGAGGCAGCTACGGTGAAAAGCTCTGTTCCACAAGCACAGTACCTCGCTCCCATCTTGTTCCTCATCCTCATATCTGACATAGACAAGGATGTCAGCCACAGCACCGTGTCTTCCTTTGCAGATGACACCCGAATCTGCATGACAGTGTTTTCCATTGCAGACACTGCAAGGCTCCAGGCGGACAACAACCAAATCTTTCAGTGGGCTGCAGAAAACAATATGAAGTTCAACGATGAGAAATTCAATTACTCAGATATGGTAAACACGAGGAAATTAAATCTTCATCAGAGTACAAAACAAATTCTGGCCACAAAATAGAGCGAAACACCAACGTCAAAGACCGGGAGTGATCATGTCGGAGGATCTCACCTTCAAGACCATGACATTGTATCAATCGCATCTGCTAGAAAAATGACAGGATGGATAATGAAACCTTCAAAACTAGGGAGGCCAAGCCCATGAGACACTCTTCAGGTCACTTGTTCTATCTAGGCTGGAATATTGCTGCACACTAACAGCACCTTTCAAGGCAGGTGAAATTGCTGACCTAGAAAATGTACATGAGAACCTTCACGGAACACATAACGGAGATAAAACACCTCAATTACTGGGAGCGCTTGAGGTTCCTAAAACTGTATTCCCGGAACGCAGGGGGGAGAGATACATGATTATATACACCTGGAAAATCCTAGAGGACTAGTACCGAAATTGCACACGAAAATCACTCACTATGAAAGAAAAAGACTTGGCAGACGATGCAACATCCCCCATGAAAAGCAGGGGTGTCACTAGCACGTTAAAAAGACCATACAATAAGTGTCAGGGGCCCGAGACTGTTCAACTGCCTCCCAGCATACATAAGGGGGATTACCAACAGACCCCTGGCAGTCTTCAAGCTGGCACTGGACAAGCACCTAAAGTCGGTTCCTGACCAGCCGGGCTGTGGCTCGTACGTTGGTTTGCGTGCAGCCAGCAGCAACGCCTGGTTGATCAGGCTCTGATCCACCAGGAGGCCTGGTCACAGACCGGGTCGTGGGGGCGTTGACCCCCGGAACTCTCTCCAGGTAAACTCCAGGTAAAACCTAGGGATTGGCAGAGAGCATGCATAGTTCCTTTGTATAAAGGCAAAGGGGACAAAAGAGAGTGCAAAAATTTTAGGGGGATAAGTCTGTTGAGTAACCTGGTAAAGTGTATGGTAGAGTTATTATTTAAAAAATTGGAAAGGGGAGAAGGTAAATGCAAGGGGTTTGGAAAAGGGGGGGGGGAGGGTTTAAAGTAAAAATAAATTAAAGTATTTGTAAAAAAGGGTTTTTTGGGGCATTTTTTTGGGGGTTTGAAGGGGGGAAGGGGAAAAAGGGGAATGGTGATGATTTTGTAGGGGGGGGCAAAAGGGGAAGAAAATTAAAAGTGATTTTAGGAAAGGGGAAATTACCAAAAAAAGAGGAAAAAAAAGGTGGTGATGAAGGTTGAAAATAATTTTTTTGGGGGAAGAGAAGAAAAGGGGGTTTTTGGAAAAGTATTAAAAGAAAAAAATTAAAGTGGGGTTCCCCAAGGTTTTTTAAAAAGAAGGTTCGGGGAATTGAAAAGGGGAAGTTGGTGGTGTTTTTTGGGGGGTTTGGGGAAAAAAAAAAATTGTTTGGAAAGAGAAGTTATGAGGAAAAAAAAGTTTTAAAGTTTATAATGGGGGGAAGAGGGGGAATGAATGTTTAAAAGGAGGGGGGAAGGGTTTTAAAAAGGAGGGAATCATGTTTGAGGGAAAAGGGTGGGGGTGATTAAATTTGGGAAAAAAGAATTTGTTTGGAAAAAAGGGGGAATTTTGGGGATTTTTACCAACGTTTAAGGGTGGAAAAGGGTTGTTTGAGGGGGGGCGGACGTGGAGAATGGGGGGAAAAAGGGGGTGAATTCAAGAATTTTTTTGGAAAAAGCGGGGAGGGGGGGCCAAAAGTTGGAGGGCAAAAGGTTTTGGGGGGGTTGGACTTAGAGGAATGGGAAACGGTGTTAAGATGATGGGAAAAGGGGGGTATCCCTTGAAAGTTGGGGGGGGGAAAGGGATTTTTTGGGGGGGGTTACCCCGCGGGCCGGATGTTTTGGGGGAAGGAGAAAAAGGGTTTTTAATTTAAAAGGGGTTGTTAATGTGGCAAAAACAAAAAACTTTTGGGGAAAGGCACCCTTTTCCTGGAAGGGAAGTAAGGGTTGAAGGAGGGGGAATTTTTTCTTTTTGGGCCCCCCGGCAGGGCGTTGATTAGGGGAAACTTTTTCCACCGCCTTGGTGGAATGGGCCATGTGATAAAAAAAAAAAATTAAAATATATATACATACACTCGGGCCACTTTATTTGGTACAAACCCTTCAGTACTGGGTAGGGTCCCTTTGTCATGAAAAAACGTAATTCTTGGGATGGTAAACGGGTACTAAAAAATTTTCCCTT